ATTATCTGCTGATGAAAATAAGAGTTTTCAAAAGAAAATATACAGGTGTATATTTTTATTCTTAGGCTGGAAAGTACTATTGGCAATAATGTTTGAAGCACAGTTGTTTCCCTGTTCTTCTAAGGACGCTGGTGAGCCATCCCCAGGTACGTTGTCTGTTACGATTTCCCTTTCACGTAGTTTAATGAAGGCTTAAATATAGGATCTAAATAATTGCTTTGTATTTTATATTTGCAACAATGTCTAATCCTCCTTCTTGATTCTTGTTTCTGGCAAGGTGCTGGAAATCCTTTGTAGCAATTATACCATTGGGCACTTTGAGGAGCAGTCATATATTAGAAGCATAGTAGATGCTGGCACTTTCACCCTTTTGGATTTTTTTCTGTGTGTGTGTGAAAGGGTCTAATCTAGTTCTCTCTGAGAACTAGAGTAAAATCTAAAGCTCAGCTCACTGTGGTTATTTATAATTAATTATAGCAAATAGTATTTTGACATTATCCCCCTTTATCATGTCTCTCTCTTTTTTTAAAATCTTTTTTCATGATTTTTGAGTTTCCCTCCTCTTATTTCAGGGGATTACTGAAGTGCAACCAAATTTTGTGGAAAATGTGTGCCTATTAATGAATATATCAATTACAACCTACTAGGCAATTTCAAGACCAAAGTTTATTAATTTCCAAATTAAAAGAAGAATATATGTTCACTCCTATCAGCCTGCATGTGAAGTTTAGCAGCTTTTTCTGTCTGCTTCTTTTCTCCAGATAAGAGCGAGTATATCACAACAAGGCAGCGTAGTTGTGCTTTTGTAAATACTCCATTACCATGTATTAACAAAGCTATTCATCACATTCAAGAGTTAGAGGTAAAGTTGCAGAAATGCTTTCAGCAGGTATGTTTGTGATTGAAAATGGCCAAATCCTTTTTTATCTTTAACTAAGCGATTCAAGTTTACTTTTTTCTTTTTTTTTTTAATAAAAAATTGACTTTAAATGGATGTACTCTACCTAACACTGCCTAGTAGGTTTGTTTATTAGTCACGGTGTGTTTTTATCTATTTACAGTTCTGGCAAGTCAATCTATATTATTCAAATAAATATAATAAATATAATGTAATATATTGTAAGTATTAGTAATTAATTAGTAATTCATATATGATAATTCGGATGCTCACATGGTTGTCTCAGTGAAGTGGATAATAATAAGATGTGCTCACTACTTGTGCAGACAAATTATACCTAAATAAGCTAGCTCCAGTACTGAGAAGAGTGTTATTACAGCAGCATAGCATAAACATCAACGCAGACTAGAGTGTCTCCCACAAACATTGTTAAATTCTCTGCACTGAGATTTCTGCAACTGCAGAATCCAAGGTACATGAGCTTCAACGACATCTAAATTTATGCTGATTAGACCCTCTTGTGATACAAAATTCACTGGCCTATTATATTTTTTTGTTAGGAAACAGAAGAAATAGATACCATCTGACATGTCTAACAGAGTTTGTCTTTTGCTTTTGCAGTACGATCATGTATTTAAGGAGGAGAAAACACCATGGTAAGAATCATACAGAACCAGTTTTGCTAAAATGTCAAGTAATTATTTAGGTAGCTAGTCAGGCTATAAAATCTGCTCTGTGAACTGCAGGGTTTGCGAGGTTCTTATTTAGAATGCACCTAAAATAAACATCCTTAGTGCCTGTCGGAGCTAGTTGCTTCAGAAAGCAGAAGTGTTGGTGGAGAATTTCTCATTTCACTTTTTAATTTACAAAGATTCAAGATGATCTCAGGTCTCAGGACCCACCTAATGATGACTTTCTGTAGATAAGAGTTGTCAGTTATTAATACTTCTGAAATTCTGCCTCCTCTCAGGTACTTAAATATGGCTAAAAGGCTCTTGTTGCTTTAAATTTTATGTTGGGAACATGAAATTTAAAATTTTAAAATGTTTCTGCATACTCCAATCTGTGTAAACGTCTTCAAATGCTTCTGAATACAGTTTGCTGAATTTGGTAGAGATCAAATTTAATCTAATTTCCAATTGTCTAGAGTCTTGTGATGGGACAAATAATTATACATCAAATAGGTAAAAAATTGAATGAAAAAGCCATTGCATCATAGCTTGTTGTAATAAGACATGGGAAAAAAACCCAAAATTTTATTCTTCTTACACCCCTAGTTTTCCTATCCTGCATACTATTTAGATTCTTAATAAATAAGTGATTTTTGTTGCTTTCAGTGCACTTGGTCAGAAGTACACTGACTTCTCTGCATTTTTGTATTTTTTGCATTTTCAAACTTCTGTGCATTTTTGAGTAGCAAAATTGCTTTGAACCATTTTGTAGTGTTTACAGTTGAATAACTTCAGATTATAGAACAAGAGAGACAGAACAACAGAAAATTCAATTGCTAAATTAAAAAGAGCAAATTGATGAGCTGTATTTGTAGATAAGTTGCACTGGAAATATCTGGATATACTCAAAGTTTCTAAGTTATAAATTTAGAATGTAATTTTAAAGCACAAAGCATGCACTTTTTTTTCCTAATAACTGTGGAAATTTTGAAATATGCTAAAGAAAGGAGAAAGTCCTCGGTCTTAGGACCACTATGTGGTTTTTAAATTGAATTGTTTTGAAGCAGACTGTGATATAGTGTTAGTTATATTCACCCATTCATACTTTTTCATCTTTGTATCTTATGCACTGAACTCATGTTGCAGCCTTTTTGCTCAACCAAGCCCTGTTTTCTTGTGTTTTATTACATTTTTATACTCATGTCAGATATACTGCTGAGTTATTTTGTGTTTGTCTATTTACCCAACTGCCCTTTATCAAACTCTGGTTTCTCTATCTGGTTTGGATTCTCCTCCATTACCTGGTCCCAATCTTCTTGTCCAATGTCTTTTGTTTCCCACTGCTATCTAGATTTTTTTCATTCTATTCTCAGTATACAAGGTGCATTTTCTGTTGCTCTAGGGAGGCTTCAGATCTATTTCTTTTTGTCTGCCTGGCATAGGCTTTGTGTCTGTTACTTCGTGGAAATGGAACATTTTCCTGGAGTGCTTTCAGATTTCTTTTTTCCCCTCCACATTGTGCATATACGTTTCCAGCTCCAGTAGGGCGACTAGAATTTCCTGAGTTCTTGTAAGAGCTATGATTTGTTTGTTTTCTTCTTTGACTTCTTATGCCGTGTCTTTGTTCCCTGATTTCTGGCTTAAATTTGTCTTGGTTTCATTTTGACAGTGCACGACCCTTCCCTGCCCTTGACCCTTTCAAGTATCAAAAACTTATCTGGCTTGGAGACTGATGAAGCAGATGCCTTGATCATTTTTCCTTCTTTTGTGCAAAAAAATCTTGAAGTATTTCTTCATTGTTGACTCAACTTTTCTTAATCCGATAAAAGAAACCGAGGAAGTGTAGCAACTTATATACAACAGTTTCTCTTTGGCAAATCCTTAGATTTGAGACTAAAATTGAGGATCTACAGCAACTTGTTTCTCATATGTTTGTAAAAGTGTTTTTGTAAAGAAATGTGAGAAAAGTATTTAAATGGCAATAGCCTGGCTAAGAAATGTCAATTAAGAATTCTTCTGTACCATTAGAGATGTTTTTTAACCTCTACGTTAGTTTAACTAAGCCCGTGTTTAAATCTATAAGATTAAAGAAGGTAAGTTTTTGACTTAGTAATATTTATTTAACAATATTAATTTAAATACAGTCTAGAATTTTTTGCTGAGAGTTGGTTTTATCTGCAGGATAACAAAAAAGGTCAGTGCTGAACCTAATGATGATACCTGGTTACCACTATCCACTCAATTGGATTTTCAAGATGCTGGTGTATCTTGTGAAGGTAAAAATGTTTCCTAATACTCAGTCCGAGTTGTAGAGTTACTTACTTCATTTAATAGATGCTTTGCATTTTTAACAACAGTTCCCAGTTGCCTGGCATATGTCCTGTGTAATTGATATGTGCATGCTTGTATTATTGTCAGTCTGAAAGACATCTAAATTGTAAATGTTTTATTAAGCAATATAGAAGCAATATAATAATAATTAGCAAGAAGATAATTTACATTTCTGTGTTTAGATTCATACTGTGTTTTAACTTTTATGTGATTCAAAGCAACTAAGTTGTGTTTGTTTAGTGGAAATTCTAGCTTTTTTGCAGGGGGGAGGATTTCTGTAAAATAATTAAGTGCATCCCTGTTGAAGGATACTTATAATGAGTTCTTGATAATCATTTCCTTTTTATTTTTTTAATTTACCTTTTTATTCTGAATATACTATTTTGGATTGTTTTTTAAGTATTCAAGAGATTAAATGTATTTTTTTGAGCTATCATACAATCTTTGGAAGTAGAGGCTAGAGACTTGCCTACAGCAGATTTTGTGTTAAAAATTCTGCAGATGGCAGTGAAGCCAAAATGTCACCACAAATATTAAGCAATTTTGCTTTCTTTCAGTGCTTTCTTTCACTTTCTTTTCAATGCTTGTAGTCTTTAATCAAAATAATTCCAACTGTGGAATTAAAACTGGGATGCCCTTTTTGGAGTCTGTAAGTTTTTGTTTTTATTTTTTATTTTTAATGGATCAAATAACCAAGTGAGGATGATGGATGAGCACAAGGCATTTTGCATGGAAGTAAATGTCTGATGTGTTTTTGGTATCCACATTTCACAGAACGAAATGTTGAATGCTCATGAGTCAATAGTAAAACAGTGAGATATTACACTGAATATTATTAGCACTCTGAAGATTTTAATGTAGTCATTGATACTTAGGAAAATAAAATGAAATAAGAAGTACTTTTTTTTTTAAAGAGGTAATTTGGAACTTAATTATTTGAATGATTACTTCCCCAAACAATGAGACAAAGATGAAATTCATGTACAATCCCAATTGTTATTTTTTGTTGAATATATTTAAATGGAACTGGAGGAAATTGCTATTGAGTATGCAATTTTTGTATTACAAACTGTGTTTTGTTTGATATCTGCGGAGAGGTCCCACTTAATATTGGGAATTAAACTGGAGTGAAGACTGTATGCTAAAGCATTCTTAAAAAAAAAAATGAATGTATTTTTAAACACATCAGTGTAACCAGTTGTGTTTACTGGATACATGTGAATAAGCTAGATTTGTATTAAGAATGGAGTATAATAAACAGTATATGTTTAACCTTTCATTAAAAAAATAACATTTAATGTATTTTTAAAGACAGCAAGAGTTCAACCTTAAAGCTGGAAACAAAAGCTTTGCTACTGGAGGTTACTGAGCTCATTAAGCGACTAGATGCCGATTGCCAAGAAGCAGAAGCAGCTCTGGAGCAGGAGAAACTGCGAAGGAAAAAGCTTGCCATGAAACTTGATTACATGTCACTCTGGAGGCTTCAGCAGGTCCCTGCAGCCGTCCAAAAAGGTGCTCGTTTTGAAAGGATTTGCTATTTTTAGTCAGTTCATTATTAAGAATGAGAATTGTGATCACCTATAGTTGTCTTCTCTGAGTAACATATTTATTCTTCTTAAATATTTAATAGGAATTGTATGACCTATGATAGTTTTCTTTAAATCTCAGGCTCTAAGGCAGTTTACTATGGCCTTTTGTGATAAATTCTATTATATAGATGCCAGTTTAAAAAAAAAATCAATGTGAGGAGAAAAAGCTATAGAGGAACTGTTTGTCTCCTGACCAAGAGTTCTTATGGGAAACAAGTACACTCAGAAGCTGAATTCTAGGCTTATAGCCTGTTGCTGCAGGAAAGCATGATGTTGCTGGACAAAAGTAAACATACATCCATTGGTGGTATATGTTGCTCTAGCGTATGGAAAACATCATACATTTCAGTTGGCAATGCTGCATGCTGTATTGGGTGGATTACTAACTTTTCCAAATTCCTCTTTTTTTTAATTGTTATTTGTATAAATAACTGTTGGATGAGTGTCAAGAGGACAGGGTCATATTCTTGTCAGTGGTGGCCAACGAGAGGACAAGAAAATTCCACTTGATCACGTGAGAACAATTTGCTATGAGGGTAAACAGGCAGTGGAACAGGCTGCCCAACGAGGCTGCATGTCTTTTTCCATGGAAATATTTGTGGGCACTGCTCGATCTGACCTTGCTTGAGCAAAGGAGTTTTGGGTCCCTTCCAGCCCTGACTCTTCCATCATTCTATGATACAGTTTTGCAACGATAGTTCACCTCTGGGTTTGATTTTGTTTATTTCTTTTTCCTTTTTTTCTGGGGGCCAGTGTGAGAGGGAGTTTAATATTGGACTGTATTACAGTTGTTAAAGAAGTAGTCTTAAGCATCTCACCTTTTTTTTTTTTTTTTAACAAACACATACTTATTTTGTAGGCAAAATGAAAATAACACCTGAAAATAATATGAAAATAATAAAGTAATCCTTCTCATCTTGTGAAACTCCTACCATCATTGTTTGTAAAGCTGTAGTGAGATGTATGCAGGGCTGCACTGGATTTAGGAACAACCTGACCTCCGCCTAAAGCTTGTTCTTCCTGTTTGTGCCTTGTCAAACAGCTATTTTGGTCCATGCAAGATGCTGAGGGAAACAGATCCCTGCCATCCCAGTATTTAAACAAAACACAGTAAGAAACAGTATATGATTCACAGTGCAGTCCACCAGAGCCCTGATTACAAGCTTTAATTAATTCAAATGAAAGTGAGTATAGAGTAAAGCTTCAAATGACTGCTAGCTCCTCTGAAAGTCCAGAAAGAAACTTATCATATGATACTCCAGAATAACCTCCTCAAATCAAACAAAAAGGCAGTCTTTGGAACCAGAAAACAGTTTATTTGCAAAATAGAATGCACTTTTGTTGCCTTTATGGGGTTGACACTTCAGTTTCAGACCTCTGTGTCCACAAGCACTAACCTCATGTGTGTGTCAGAGAAACTTGAGGTTTCAAAGAAAATGAACACCAGAGGAAACAGCTAAGCATCGTACATGCACATTGCAAAAATTGAAGGAGTTTCTGATGTGAGAAAGAATGGAAGAATGAAAATTCCTAAGCTGCTGACAGGAGTCAGTTTAACTGATCAGACATCAATAATTTTCTCCCTCAGTAGGAAGAGTCTTCTCATAACAGATACTGATGTGAGAGCAATCGACAGAAGAAATCAGAAGATGACTGGCTGTCTTGGAGAATAGGTTCCATAGTGGTGGATTATTTCTTTTCTGCTAGGGACTCTTTCTGCATAACGTTAGATCATCCATTAGTTCTTGTACAAGTACTTGAGAACTGGGGAAAATTATTTGCCCGTATGATTTAAGCTACAGCCATTTTTTGACCAACAGAAAATGGCAAACTTTGACAGGCAAGCTCATTTGTTCCATGGAGTGAACAGGAGCGAACAGGATTAATAAGTCATAGTAGGTTACTCAACAAAGGGTATCATCATAAAAATGAACCTCTTGTTTTGTATTGCAAAATCTCTACAACTTTTTTCTTTTTTTTATTCTTCTTGTCCCTTTCTGATTTGCGCTGTAGATCTTTGTCTGGAAATTTGTCTTTGAAGAGGACAGGATAGTCTGTTTTTCCTTAAAAAGAAACTTTGCTACTTCTTATTTGATGTTTGTAAAATGTCATGAAAGACCACAAACCCAAGCAGACCACATTTCCTTGGTAAAAGCTAAAGTTTTGTGGACCCAAGAAGGTCATTGGGACTGAATGGCCCTTCCACGCCAGCTGGAAGGGCAGAACCTACAACATCTTGAGACATTAGCAAATCAACAGATTGGGGCTGGCAATCCCCATACCTGTTTCACAGACCCTCTAGATAATTCTACCTGCTGACTTTCCAATTTGTAACAACGTAGTCGGTACATTTTCCTTTAATTTAAGGCTTGGTATGCTACCCAAAAGCAGCATACCTATTTATAGACTTCTAAGCTTATATGAAAGGATAAATACAAGTATTCTGTTAGTGATAACATAAATCCCTGGCAAACTCTTATCACTGAGAAGTCTTAGAAGGAGAAAATATCTCCACAGCAGCATACTTGCACTGTTAGAGATTCAGTGGTCAATGTACCTTCACTAAACTCTGTTTCCTGTGATTGATAACTACTTCTGCTCTGAAACACGGTTTTCTCCTTTCATTCTATTATATGTTTCTGAGATGGAGAGCAGCAGAGCAGTGTTTGTAGCTGTTCCAGGAACAGAGCCTCAGGAAATGTCAGTCCCATCTTCTCTTTCTTTGTTGGCTACTTTTTTGCTTCCTTGTTTGGATGCTGTGAAACAGGAAATTGGAGGCTCTCATCCATCACAGCGTCCTGCCACATGTCTTTGTTACCCTGTGATAAACTAAAATTTGTTTATTTAGGGGTGGTGGGAAGACAGATCTTATTCCTAAACACTAATTAGCAAGGCATAGCTGTGATCTGCATAGAATTGTACTACAGTTTTAAGAATGGTACTGGATGCCAAAAGGAAGT